AAATTCAAGTATTATTTGAACTGTTGTCACTTTCTTAATTCCTGAAGGACTTACTTTTTGTTTTAAATAAACTTTATTGAATTTTATTACATTAAAAACATAAAAATATATCACTCAATAACAGCTATTTGTGGTGTTTATCGTGTAACAATCATTTGTGCAATATTTACAGATATTAATTTGTGCATAATTATATTCTTATTCTATCTTTATTCTATTCATAATTACCTATCCTTAATCTGTCTCCAATCAATCCAGCTATACCATTGTTCCCATACCTTATAAAATATTGAAGCTTCCTTATCTTTTAAATTCAGCGTTAATTTATCCATTTCAGCACAATTCATAACTTTTTGTATAACCAGTTCCTCTACGGGTATATATGGCTGTTTTCAACATTGGGCAAAGGCAATCCTGGCAGCAGTCAATATGTGTAATAAGTATTTTGTGCTCTTTATGTATTTTTTTTTTTGAAGATCCCCAATAGGAAGAGTTCTGGTTCTAGGTCTAATTTTTCATTGGTGATTTCCTGTAGCCAATTTTTGATTTTAAGCCAATATTTTCAAGCCTCTGGGCAGGACCACCACATATGATAATATGTTCCCTCTTTTTTTTACATTTCCAACATATTGGACTCATTTTAGGGTACATTTTAGCTAATCTCGAAGGGGGTAAGTGCCACCTATAGAATATTTTATATGCATTGTCTTTGTATGCTGCTGATTTTGTTAATTTGTGATTTCTATTCCATACAGTCTCCCAGTCTGATAACTATATGTTATGACCAATATTTTAACCCCATGCGATCATACATCATTTCACTACTTCTTCTTCTATATCTACTTCTAGGAGATACTTGTAAATTTTGGTAATATTTTTTTTTAATCTGGTCCTAATAAGATTTTGTCTAATTGTTGAGGTTTCAAGTATATTCCGTACTCCTTTACTTCTTTTTTATATCGGCTTTGTATTTGAAGATAAGCCCACCAGTCTACTCGTAGCCCTTGTTCTTGGAGCTCCTTACTTTTTCATGTCACCATCAATTTAGAGAAGAGAACATTTTGAATTATTGCTGGAGATTAATAGTTGAAAATCTATACTATTTTCAGTGGCTATAATAGTTGGCCATAACAGTATACATATTTCATGACAAATATGGAAATAATGATCAAGCAGTATTTATGCTATTTCATACATTTATTATTTATTAGTGTTTTATAGCAGTCCTGTTACCTCAGAGAGACACTTTCCCCAAGCAAATTTCCTAAAAATATTTGCCCTACTTTTATATTACATACTTTCTAAAGCAGTTACACTGGAGTTGTTTCAATTTCTAAAGCATAGTCATTCTGAATACATTTTCTGAAATTGAGAACTTTTTCGTAGCTTTTTTATAATCTATTTCTGTGTATGTCAGATGTATAGGTAGACTTTAACTTACAATCATTCATTTAATGATGATTCGAAGGTACCACTCTGAAAAAAAGTGATTTATGACCATTTTTACAGTGATGAACATTGTAGCACCTCAAGTGACATGATCAAAAGTTGGGTGATTGGCAACTGGCATGTTTTTATGTTTGCAGTGCCCTGAAGTCTTGTTGTTAAGAGAGTTGCCCCATTTTGCAACCTTCTACAAGCAAAGTCAATGGGGAATCCAGATGCACTTAATAACCATATTACTAACTTAACATCTGCACTGATTCACTTAATGTGGCATGAAAGGTCACAAAATGGGGCAAAACTCTTTTAACAACTGTCTTGCATAGCAACTGAAATTTGGGGCTCAATTGTCATCATATGTTGAGGACCATATGTATGTTTACACTACTGAAACTATTGCAAGGTCAAAGAAATAGATAAGTGAACTTGAATAAAACATTTTATGACTTTTGATTATAGCCAAACTCCAACTAAGTTTCTTCTGTGCAAATGAAAGCCATATGAATACTTATTTTATCAATTAGGAGACATAATTGGCATCATTTTCTTAATTTTCTGTTTCAGTAAAAATCACTTTTTTCAAAAATAAAAAAACATATTCTCTCCAATTTGGAAAACAATTCCAGTATCATCACCTCTGCAATCAAATCAACTAGGATCAAAATAGATATTAAAGATATGACAATGGCAACAAGAAATTTGTTATATATTAAGTACTTGTAGAGTAAAGCAATTATTGTTGTTTAGTCTATTGTCTTTATCAATTAAAGTAAATATATATGCTGGCAAGAAAGAAATCTATCTACAATTTTCATTTTAAGAAACCTTATAGGTTATCTAGCCAACACTTGGCTTTGTGCAGAAATCCACCAAACTATCTATTACAAATGTAATCCATGAGATTACTTGCTGGAGGTCATGAGAAACCTCCAGCAAGGAGAACTCCATTGTTGTTCTAGGGTTATTGTTTCACCATTTAATAGCTTCTCCAGCCTAGAAATTCTTCTGACGTTAGTTTCTTTGAATAATAATTTGCCAAGCACTTCTTTGCATATTCTAAGACCAACATCCTTCCTTTAAAAACAAAATCCAATAATCCTGAATCTGCTTTTCTTTCAGGCAGTTTGTTTCATTTTTTAAAAATGTTATCCATTGTTGGCTTCATATTTTCAAAACTGTTCAGAGTATTAGCTCCATATATATTCACTTACTTCAGGCCCTTTTTTAAAATAAAGAAGCTAAGCAGTTAGTTTGGTTCTTAATTACCTGGTATGCTGGTTTCTACTATTCTGAGATGAAAAACTGAGTGAATGAAACCTTTTGATATTTTTTTATTTTTTAAAAAAAATCCTGCCTTTATTAGAGCTTAGAACACCTTGAAGTAGTAGTGTAAGATCACATGATGTGGAGACACTATAACATCATCACTCCTTCCTCTTCCTATTTTCCCCACAAGTGAGGTAAGCTGGGCTGAGACAGAGTAACTGTCCCAAAGTCATCCAAGCTTTCACACTTAAAGCAGAATTAAAACTCACCGTTTCCTGGTTTCTACCTGCTGCCCTTAACCACTAGAGCACACTGGCTCTTTTATTATTTTAAAATAATAAAGTGAAGCTGTAATCTTGTAGGTAAAACTACCAAAGGTAACGAACAAGAAGAAAAATCCTTGTTATATTTTAGGGTCAGCCCCAGTGCTGCTGAATGAATTACAAAAATTATAACAATTATGAATACTTCTAAGAAGTTTTCCAATTTGCACCGTTTATTCCAGCTATACAATCTGCACAGTTCCGGAACAATTCTATTTGTACAACACAGTCACACAGAATTCTGCATGCTGTTTGTTGAAATATATAAAACTGTTTTTCCATCATTGTATAATTATCATTACAATTATCCCCACGGTTGCAAATTAGTCTATAATAGGGACCAGGAAATTGCAGCTCTTGAATGAATCTGACCTCCTGAAGGATAGTGTCCACCTCCCACAGTACAGTAAAGAAGAAAGGGAAATGATAGCAACAAGACAAGGAGAAAGAAGCAGCTGTGCACTCAGTGATAAGGTTAAGTGAGCCTCTTTAAACAGTTTCACATGAATTATAGTTGCCAACTAAGTCTTTAAGTTTAAGTCAAAAGCCCTCGATCCATTTCTGCAATGATAAGTGCCATTTTTGAGAAGGATTATGTACAGAAAGTACTGTTATCATCTGCTTAAACAATTACAACCACTATGTTAAGTGGCATATTAGATGAACACATAACTATCTTCAAGCTTAAATTTATTTGAGTATATTTTATCTGAGATTGTGGGTGATTTGCTTCATTATAATGCATGCCATGTTGCTAGGAATATATACTTATGTCTTTTAAAAATTGAACATGCACATTTAAATGATTTTAGATGATATAAATGATACACACATACACACACACACACACATTCTTTAGATTATCTGTTACAGAACGTTATTTTATTTATTAGATTATTCCTGTAAATAAAACATATGTCCAGACATGTTCATACCAAAACCTAATCAAATCTGTATCCAAACACATTTTTCTTAAATTGATTGTCTTTTAACCTAAGTGGGCAATGTCCTTATCCATCTACCAGATTTATTAAATTTATATGCTGCCCCTCTCACTCATCAAGTGACTCTTATTACTGGGAATACATATTTATCTGATTCTTAAGAAGAGACAAGGAAGCCTCTGGAAAGAAAATATAGGCTTGGATTCTTGTGAATTCAGATTAAAGTGTAGGAATGTATTTAAGTCAGAGTTAAACTACATCAGTGATCCATTACAAAGGTCAATCTTAATTGGCAAGATGAGAAGTTAATATCAAAGAAATCAGATAAACTAATTTGGACTCAGTTCTTTGCAATTAGAAAAACAATTCAACTACATGCATGATTTCATGAAGCAGGAATTATGGGGATGGTTCTTCATACCCCCCCCCCCACCGCCTTTCTCTGTCACAATGTAAAGCATCTTGCTAGAATTTCAGAAACGAAGACCTGACTCTTCCAGGGGATGGGGTTTGAGGAATGTTTGCATGTTAGGAAGAACATTTTGCTATATTACATTTTAATCTTCTTAGCCTAATGGGGGGAAAGACATTCAAAGTTGCTTTCAATTGTAGCAGCATATAAGCCTTAGCAAATACATACGCACATACTTAATGACTACACCTATATATACAATGTTATGACTTGCTATCTGTCTAGTCTTCTATTAAGTGCTGGAGTTTATCTAAAAGGAGGTCGAATGTATGAAATTCAGATATAGAAGCAATGCAACTATCTATGCCTTGTCAGTTCTGATTGACTTTTCTTGGTATAAAGATAACTTAGTCTGCCAATAAGGCAGAAGAATTTGAAAGGAGTTCAATATTAACACCATATAAAGCACAAGTTACTGGTTTCAATTTTAAATAGCCAGGTATATGTTTGAACAATTGACCCAGATGCTTTCATTTCAAAAAAAAAAAAAAAAAAGATCCAGTTCTGCCAGGACAATAATACTGTATTTGAATACGGGACTTAGATTCTTACCTGATTGACCAGGTGGTGGAACGCCTAGAGATCCTCTTGGCAGGCATAAAAACACAGTGAGTACAGCTGCTTTGTTTCCTGAGCAAGGCTCAATGGCAATTGGTTTTGGAGAACCCTGGAATTAAAGAAAAGAAAAGAAATACATGATTGATTGACTGAGATTATTTGCTGGCTTTACATATATATATTTTTTAATCAAACTATACTTCAAGTATTTTTTTAAAAGGAGAGACAGGATTTTCAACACCATTTCCTAAAGGTCTTTTGGACCTGAGATATGCATTATGGCATGATTTCTCAAGGATTACAGACTGCTTCTGTAACCCTTGAGAAATTATGTAGGGTAATGAACATTAAAGGCATAAATATGGTGACTTTAAAATGCCATAAAACATTTTCCCTCTTCCAAATATGTCATCTTCTAAGCTTTTGCACAAGTATTTCTATTCATTTTTAAAGTACCATTTATACATTATAATATACGTTTTCAGGAATAATTTCAACTACTGAGTTAAATGAAAAAAATCTACAATAATTGATATTAATTTTCATTCTTACAAATGTAGCAGCAAGTATTAATTAATTTAAATAAAATCTGATCATGTAATCAACAGCCATGTCAGCATTCATTACTTAGAGAATAAAAATCACTTTATAATTACTATATTACAAAAATATAGCTTTGTTTGTTTATTTTCCTCCAACAGAAGGCAACTGAGCTACAAAATTTATTTTGAAAATAAAACTCCCACTGAAATGCCTAAAAGTACAAAGAGTAAGAAAAATTGTTATTTAAACATGAAAGAAAACAAAAAAAAATATTTAAAAAGAAAATTGATATAAATAATAAAGAATATTAATAAAGACTTATATTTATTGAAAAAACCTATTTAGGCATTAACAAAAATGGTTGATCTCAGGAAAACTGTAGAAAAACAAGAAACACTGAAAATTCAATATTTACTAAGAAGGACTGCCATTTATCAATTTTTGTTATTTCCTTTTAATTCACTGTATTCCTTTGAGTTTTTATTTGTTTGCTTAATCTTCTATACATTTCCATAGGCTTTTTGCAGGTTACCAAACATTACAAAAGTTGAAGTTCAAACAACAACATGCAAATATATATCATAAACTACAATAGTGCTTTTCCATAGGGTGTGATAAACCCCCTTTCCCCCTAATGCTTCTGTAACCACCCAAATCTTTTTGATACTTTCGAAGTCCAATAGAAAACAGCAGGGGTGTCAAACTCAATTTCATTGAGGGCCGCAGCAGGGTTGTGTTTGACCTCGGGCAGTCTGGGGTGTGTGACCAGGGTGGGCGTGGCCAGTTCAATGTCACTCAATCAATACCCCACTCAATCATTGTTACCATACACAACACTTTTCAAAGTGCAGTGATCTTTGCTGTCTTTCCTCCCAATAAATTAAAAAAACCAAGCCTGATTCAAATAGTATTAGCATTAAGCATTTTCAATTGAATTTCATCAAAATCAACTACATACAGTATTCTCATTTCTGGCTGAGAAAGTTTTTTATAGCATGCTTTAAGGCAGAAGAAGCTGAAGTGCAATCTTAGCATATATCATTTCAATTTTGCAATAAGACACTCAAGGCAGCATAGAGCAAATGATCATAATTCAGATACCCTTAGGTTTGTCAGTTGTTTAAAGATAAATACATAACCCTAAATCAAAGTTATTTCAGTGGGACATGACACATTCTTTGAACTGTACAGTTTATCATATACTTTTCACAGCTTTGGAGGAGGGAGGTCAGGAGATAAGGCACATGTTTATTTGCCCAAAGCACTTAGCAACTTCAATTTATTTACCAGAATTGTCACGTTTTGGATGGTAAGAAGCAGAAGCCATTATGCTTTGCCAAAAAAGCCACCAAAGAGAGCCAGGTCATAAATAAAGCATTGGAATATATAATACAAGCAGGAAATGGTGAAAATGGAGCTAATATGCTGTTCTGATCTAAAGGGTAGCTAAAACCTTATTTAAAAAAGGGTATCTAACAATATAAAAACAAAAATCAACTGCCTGACAAAAGAAACAATTCAGTTAAAATTAAAATATGTTTTGTATTCACATAATGATTGGGTCAATTATTGAAAAAATGGCCCTTTTATACTTCTGTAGGCTTGTTGACAGACTCACAACAGCAGCCATTCCAATCCCACATTGTTATTCCACCCAAAGAACTTTTCATTCTATGCTAAAGGCAGTGACCTTTCTAATTCTTTGGACTGAAACAACCATTTCCGCACTTTTGAAACCTATTTAATATGCTTTGTCTATTTCGATAAACATTGATTTGAAGCAACCCAACAAAAAGTACAAAACTAAATAGTTTTTGGCCTGCAGAGAGTATTTTAAACTGCGCAAAGAAAACAAGACAATATGGCAGAAATAAATCATTTCATTAAACTTTAATATCATAAGCAAAGTAACAGAAACTTGATCTACTAACAAGGATATCCAGCTTTGGCAACTTTAAGACCTATGGACTTCAACTCCCATAATTCCCCAGCCAGCATTCTGGAAGGCAGAAGTCCTCCGGTCTTAAATTTGCCAAGGTTGGCCAGAGCTGATCTAAAGAATGTTACATCCTGTAACTGTCTACTTCGTTACAGAGCACTTGGTTTAAGTTGTAGAAATATTGAAAGAGTTTGAACAGCAGAAGGAATAGGACTAAATTCTGGAATACTTCTGTTAGTCCACTGGAACTGTAGGAAATGGGCTGATAAACTTCTTATATCATTGAATAATGAATGGGATTTATGCACAGAGGTTTTGCTGGATGGTAAACACAGTCTTCTAGTGCATATTACATAGAAGGGGTGAAAAAAATGCAAATAGTATAGAAAACCAGTGAGAGGATGATTGGATATTTTGGGGAAAATAGACTTTAGTTCCCTGGCTCTTCCTTTTTAAAAACATTTAATTCTTTATTGCAGTATAAACAATCAGAAGAGGAATAAAAATGTCCTGAAATAAGTATTCATTATATTCACAAAGCAAAATGAGGTGAAGGTTCTGTAACAATTTATATTGTGAAAAAAAGAAGAAGAACATCCATTATAGCGAAGCACTGGCCATATATTTCTGGGCAGTCATTTCAAAGCTAGGTGCATCTAATTTTTAAAAGTGCATTATTATGCCATAAAGACAAATAGATCGTGAATCTTATGCCAAAAAGGCAATTAGAAAATTGGATTAAGGAATTAATGTGAATATGTTACACTTGTCAGGAATAATAAGTATTTTGACACAAGCAGAATAAAATTTGACATGGTGCACAAATACTGATCAGATACACCAAACATTTAAAATGCAAACAAGGATGCATTACTCGCTTCCATGTTGCTAAACTAAATACCTAAATTCCAGGCTTATCACAATTAATCTATAAATAAAAATGAATCTCTGCTCTGCTTAAATGTTTCCCCTTAAGAAATTATGATAATTTATACATAAAATTGAATTCTTAATTACATTATTAACACTGTTTTTATCTGATAAAACCAACTAGAGTAAACATGATTTCTTTGTAAACAAGCACTCATGTGTGTTGTTGATTTGATGTAATTAACACAGCAATTTCAGATCCTTGCAGCTGTTTCTTAAAGTTCTATTTGTGACATTAGATAGTCAAAACTTCCTCACCTCTTGAAAATAATTAAATCAGGTGGTAATAGTATTAATATGAAAACTGGCCTTGACATTTGTAATGCAAGTCACATTAATACTTCAATCCCCTTACCATTTTGCTAATGTACTTGCTCTTTTCCTTGGCTTAATGTTGCAGTGATGCTTATGACATAATGCTGTTTTTGTCATGTTGCATTTTATATGCATTGGCATGCATATCAAAGAACCTGAATGCTTATTTTAGAAGTTTAGCATCTTTTCTAGGCTTCACTGAACAAGAGTAACGGAATCCCACCCTCATGAATTGCAGTCTTTTCAGCCCTCATCAATCGGGTGAGATGATAGTATCACTCTCTAGCAAGCTACTTTCCAAATCTGAATAAGGAGATGAATTTTCAATTTTTTCTTATTGATGTCCACCTTCTGTGGCTCTCACAACTGGAAATCCTGCACAAAATTATTGGCTTTACTGTACATGTTAATTATTTAATACTTTTTTTTTGCTGTCTCAGTTATTTCAGCAGAATGTAAAAGAAACAATGAATAATTTAAACATTAATGAAATTATTGTACAAACACTTCCACTAGAGTAAAATCTATGTTTCAGGAGGAATATTCTTCAGAAAATACTGAAGGAAGTTGTTTGTTCATACGTTTCATGAGAATTCTCATTTAGTTACCACAATATTTTTGTTTGCTTGCTTGCTTTGCCCATTTACTTTGATATCTTTACCATTCATTAAATTCCATGCTCAATATATTCATATTTTAGCTGCAACATACCCTCAGGAATGAAGAAAAACATCATCAATAGTTTGTAGTTTTTCCTACAAAGTTTTCTAGCTGAGGCTTTCATAATGACTTACAATTTTAATTGATTAAAATTCCCCATCTTCTATGTGGTAAGTAAGCATTATTATCTATTTTAGAATAGTGATCTTGAGACAGGATTCTCTCCTTTGGCTTCTTAAAATGTTGTCACCAATGTGAAGAGAGAATTACATTGATTTCTTTCTTCCATAGCTATTCAATATTCTTTCTTCCATAGCTATTCTATTATCAAAAATAGAACAAGAACAATAATAGAAGTAGTACACTCTTATAGACATCTATCTGTACTATACAGCTGATTTTAACAGACTAGCTATTCCAATCTACATAGATTTTTCTCCAGTGATTCTTCTATTTCCAGGTACATAGAATTGACAACTATTTGGTTTATGACAAAAGAAAATGAATGTGAGACATTTCTGGACAACAGATCTAGAAACATGATCAAGGACAGCAACTTCTTTTTATTACTTTACCACATATCCAAAGGCCGTGCCAATGAAATAGGATAGTGACCATAAAAAAGAAGAGGAAGAGAGATTGTCAAGAAAAGTAAATTCAGAGAGAAACATTGGGCTGTGGAAAGAAAGCATACATTTCCAACATGCTATTTCCTTTCAGGA